AATACTTTGGAGATTCAAAGCATAACCTTGGAGATGTGGAAGGTGCTCTGAGAGTGACAAAAACCCAGGAGAAGGGGTCTGTAATCAAAAAGAGCACTCACTGAATATCGGTGAGCTGTGAGGAAACTGAGGATGGAAATTTGGATCTTGGTCATTTGCATTGATCTGTTACCTGCTGTGTTGTCTAGAAGAGTGAATGGTTTAGAAATCCCTCAGCTGAGTTTCATTTGCCTTAGCCAGGGTGTGTGAGTCCTTCAGTTAAACAGCTGTTCTATCTCATAGTTTTCAAACCTGTCACATATATCCTGCCCTGAGGTGATGTGCCTTGAGTTCAGAGTCACCTCCATGGGCTGGCAGAGCTGTAACTCTGTTCTGGGCACCTCTGTGATGCTGTGGCAGCAATGCTGGAGCATGGGGCAGGGTTGCACTGGACACGTCGTGACATCCTTCTTCCAGCCCCCGCAGGGTTGGTGGTGGTGGATGAAGGTGCCAATTGGGAGCTGTGGTTTTGAGGTTGAAGATGTTTAGTAGAAAAATCGGGGATAAATGGGTGCATGCATGGTCTAGTGCAGCACTGGGAGAAGGGCTGAAGGGGATGTGAAGTCCTGTTGCAGGTTCAGAAGTGTTCAGGCTGGTTTGCTGGGAGATGTTTCTCTGTTCTTACATTCTTTCCTGGGCATTTGCTGTTGGAGGTGATAAGATTTGCCTGGAAGCTGAATGGGCAAGAACATGCTAGGCTTGTGTCCTGCTTGGACAATGGCTGGGGTGGGAGCTGTGCGGGACAGCCTTTGAATTGGCTATTATAACTTATCTAGTACAAAAGTTGCCAGTTCTATACTTTTCATTTGAGGATAGGATAAATGGCTTTCTGTATTGTGGGCTTCAAGATCTTTACTTTTTTTTTTTAGTCTGGATTGCAGCTGAGCTTTTAATTTGATTGTATTTCTGTCAAATACTTGGCTATCTTAGTGTTGAGACTGTCAATTCCTGGTTTCTCTTTCTTGACAGACGCTGCAGCAATACATGCTTTGGTGTGTCCCTCGCAGCTTTCAGTTGATCCCTGCCTACAAGGCAGTCAAATGAAAAGCTTGCAGATGCTCCTTATCTTTTTGGGCAGAGTGAGAGAATAGTGAGCTGGGTAGTTTTTGCAGAGAGGGTCGGTGTCTGTCTCCCTGTCTGCTGTGTGACCCAGCCTATGAGAGACTTGCTTATCCTTTCCTCCTCTGAAAGATTTGGGAGGCAGTGGCAATGGCGGTTGGCCAATCCCTTACAAAGGGGTGAGGAATGACATCTCCCTTCACTACAGGTGAAATGGCAGTTGAAGAGCAGCTCTTTGATGGTGAGCACTACTACTGTTGACCTGCCCTTTGCGTGTCCTGCATAAGGTTTCTTCCATCATCTGTTGTGGATGATGGAAGGCACCCAAAAGGCATGTAAAGCAGTCCACGTATTTATGGTCTGCTTACAGGAGAGTTAACTACTTCTACCCAGTCTGTGCTCTGTCTGCAAGGTTTTAGCTGGTTGGGGCTTGCTGGTGTGGGGCTCTTTGTATTAGGAAAAGCTCCAGTTCCCTTCCATTCAGCTAGATGACCGCAGTCATTTGTGATTTCTTGATTTCATGCTGGAGAAAATCAAGGAGATTGAAGATTGTTCTGTTCAGAAGAGCAAGTTGTTAAAAATTTATAGCCTTTCTGAAAGAACGTGTGTTCAGGCTGGCACATCCCATACAATTTCTGGTCATTTTCCAGTTACTTCTCTCAAGATACTCCTTTCAGGTTTGTAGTAGATAGATACTACAAGAATTTTGTACTTGTCAAAGCACTGATCTCTCAAGGGTAGAATCAAAGGAGAGCTGGCAGCAGGCTTGAGGCCATTTCTCCTGAGAGGGAAGTTGACTGATTTCAATTCCAAAAGTCAAGGAAAAGAAAATAAAAGGTGGGGTTCCCATTAATATTTAAAAACTGTCTAAGCACAGTTACTGATAACTCCTCCAGTGAGTCATTTATTGTTGTAACACAACAAACACAAGCAGCACCATGAACCTACTAATATTCCTTCCTAGTGGAAAAAAAAAAGTTCATGTTTTCATAGTGATAGCATCCCATAAAATAAAGCCGGGGGACTTGGCGAAATTCAGAACCCAGAGCATAGCAGGTCCTGGCACCTCTGCTCCAACATGACCTGGCCTTTCAGAAGCACCTGGATGGCTGACTTGGGAACCGTAGGGCCTTCACGTGATTCAAGTAATTCTGCTATAGACAGGCTTGCTACCCGGGACGATCCTACAAAAAGCTTCCTTTTTGGAATGGAACCATATTGCTAGTCTAGGTGAGATGATTTAAACCTGAATTTAGCAATGCGCTTACAAATTCTGTATAGATTAATTTGTGATTCTGGTGTTACACTGGGAGTCTTGATTGGGTATGCTGCCTTCGTATGCTGCGTATTGCATCTTGAATCTCGCTGTGAGGAAGTCATTTGCGTGGGTCACTTTTTAGGAGGCACATTGAAACAAATGAACACTTTGTTTCCAGTAAAAAAAAAGGAGTGTCTTAATGGGACATTACAGTAGAAAATACAGTAGTATCTTTATCCTAAGGCAAGATCTAGGACATGCTATCGCTATCCTTCTCACGCTTTTAGTACGATTGTTTAGCCAGTCTGGAAAGAATAAGGAATCTCTCGTTATGTATGTTCAGTTTCTAGCTTGATGGGTCTGTGATGAGAGATCCTGGCAGATCAGGTTCTGTACGATGGTTGGGTGGGGTTTAATGGTACTTTTCTCTTTTTGGTGTTTACATAATCACTTGAAAATGAAGGATAAAGTTCAGAACTGAAGGGAAGATGGAAAGAATTTGAACGGCATATAAAACTCACTTTTTAAAGTTTACAAGAAGAGAGGGTAGTAGTGAATCTTTGAAGCTTGTGGGACATGCACCTCTTTGAAATGTTAGCCGGGGGTGTGGTTTTTTGTTTCTGAAATACTGTTCAGTTTGTTAAGGGGTGTTTTTATGGGTGAAAAATAGGACAGTATTTTGGTCACCATATTGCTTTTATTTGAAAGATAATATTTAATATGAGTACTGCCATTGGAGCATCATATTTAAGTTTGGCTAGTATGATCTTCGAGTAAGCAAAGGGCCTGAAGTTAATTCATGCTATGCAGTCCTCAGATATATGCATTTAGGATCTAAGAGGCAATGCTAACTTCATATTTGAAAGTTCGGGGAACAAATACTATACGTTGTCTTTGGGGTACTTTGGGGTTGTTCAGGGGTTTTTTTGCTTCGCTATCCCTTGCAACTTCATGCCTCATCACATGGAAAGATTCATTGCAGAGCAAATACTGTCATGGTAAACAGGAGACTTTTGAGATTTTAAAAAATAAATTCAAGAGGGTTTTCTCCAGAACTAAGCTATTGCGATGTCTTGCAAATAATTGTCTGGTTAGCTTATGGTGCAGCTTAATGAGCAGGAAGTGAATGTTTCCAGAATCACTCTGAAATGTAGTAGATGGCTTGTCTGACGTCCACCTGTGGTGGTAGGCATCAGAAGTATGCTGTACGTTCTCCTCTAAGATACTGCTGTTTTAGCCATGAGCTGATCATACAAAAAATCAGATGTAGCAAGGGGTAATATTTTATTTGACCAATTAGTGTGACTGGGGGTGGGGGGAAGCGAGGCACTGGGTCAGGCATGTGGGTGCGCGCTACTTCTCCAGGTTCCTTACATGCCTTAAAGTTTGCTGTTGTTTTCTTCCCTTTCAATTTTAGTTGGTCAGGTAAAAGATTTAGTTAAAGAAATGATTCGAGCACTGGGAGTGTCAAAAAGGCCATACTTGGCCAGTCCAGACTAGTTTTATGGCTCCATGAGTGTTTCTGAGCAAATACTTACAGAAAATACCAGAGCACATATAGAGTAACATTGACCAGGGCATATTCTTCCAGTTTCAAGTGACTCATTGTTCATTAATTTCAGAGCTGTTGATGGATCTGTTTTTGGATCTATTTATATTTCTGGCCTTTACAGCATCTTGTGGTAATTAGGAGCTGTAGGCAGGGTTATGTGGTCCAAATTCAAACTTTTAACCAGTTACCTGATAATTTCACTCTGCTTTAATCCTTGTGTCTGCTAAATAATGCATAATCATTCCATTCCTATTCACCAGTCAAGTTACTGGTGAGTTTGTATATCCTTCCATCACTTGTTTTCCAAGTTTCTAGTATCTTTTTGCAAAGAAGAGCAAGAAGGGTAGATTCCACCGATATTTTTCTCATTCTTCCATAGCTTTTATGAGAAGGGATGCCCAGAGCTACTTCCAGGATTCGAGAGCAGTGCTTTCTGTCATAGTGCATCCATTGTATATTTAAATGTGTGTCTAGGTAGTAGGTTATTAGCAAGTTAAGTATAAAAATGAAAAGTGATCTTTTGTACGTGGTTTTATTTGGATGATATAGCAGTTAAGACTTGATGGAGCAGTTAAAGCTTACAGGAGGTCTGTAACCATGTAAAAATATCAGTGTATATTACAAATTTGAAGTTCAGTATATATGAAGTTCAGAATATAACTTTATACAAAAACATTTTTCTTCGTAAACTTGATTTTAAAGCTGGCTATCCCTCCCCTCTCTTATCATCTGTAGTATTCAATACATACTAACAATTAACAGCATTTCTTTCAGTCGCTGCAGCTTGCTTGTGAGATTATTAACATTTAAAAACAGAGTGAATAGGCAGCTTTACAAAATGGAGAGAAAAAGGGAGCAATGGTCAAACATTTGAATCTTTATAAAGAAAATAAGCCGTGTTCTAAGATCATCAATTAGGAAAAAAGTTACTTGCCTTACAATGGGAATTAGCGGTAGAAGTAAAATATCCTAAAAAATATGCCTCACCCCAACCTTGAAGTATGTAATACTACCCTTGTTAAAAACAACTGTCCCTGTTGCAATTTGTAGTGTGATTCTATTATCAGACTAGTAAATTGTATAATTTTTACAGCTTTAAGAAACTCATATAAACACGTGAGAGAAGATGACAAGATCTAGATCAAGATCACCACGATGGAAACCAAGGTAAATATTTATCTATAACTTGTGTTCCGAAATGTAGCTCTATATAAGGATTTATAATTAGGACTTAAAACTTGCATGAAAGAAAGAACATTACATCCAGAATTGCAATTTGTAAAGTGTATTTTATAAATTATAATTTGTTTTCCAAACTGAACACCTTCTGCAATTTTTTCCCACTTGCAATTTTATTATTATGATATTTTTTTTTAAGCTGGAGGTGTTAAGTTTTTGCTGTCTGCCAAGAACCCTGTCCAACTTGCATGTTTCGGGACTTGGAACTACCTTGAGCGCAAAATCCAAGCACCAAAGCAGTTAAGGTTATTTTTACTCAAGCACCACCTGGTGCACTTAATGTCTGTAACTCACTCCTGTTTTGCCTCTTGGTCTACAGGGAGGGCCAGATCGACTGTTAAAATACTTAGTTCAAACACCTCAGGCTTTCTGAGCCTTTGGGGCTGATCCGCAAATTGATCTTTAGCACAGTTAGATATGCCTTACAGCATAACGCGAACTGAAAACATGGGAGTCAGTGCTGCTCTTCTTGGACACTAGCCTAGTAGCATGTGTCATTGATGTTTGTCACCAGAATAACATCCAGGTTACTTCACGCTGTTAGTTACCTGTCTAATTTTTAGGACTTGCAATACAGATTTGAAGTGTTAAAACTAGGAGGCTGGAATCCAATTTTCAAGAGCCTGAAACTACTTTTCTGCTAGTTTTGGGTTGCTTTTCTAAACAGAAAAGTTGTGATGACCAAGACCAAGGGAGTTTGTTGGATAACATAGAAAAATGTGTGTGGGCTTTTGTTTGTTTGTTTTTTCAAGAGAGAAATCCTATCTACTTCCATAGTAAAGTCAGAGCTGTGAATGTCCTTTGAGTGAAGGGCAGGGAGGAATGCCCCAGCTCTCACTAAAATGCAAACCTTAACTAGAACATCATGGGGCGGCAGCAGCAGTATGGATGCTATTGGAAGTTAGCCATTATAATTTTACGAAGATCTGTCATTCTGAGTTTGAACTCGTTTGCAGAGATGGAGCTAATAGTTATGCCAAATTGTACATTTACAATATGTGTACAAAGGAAGTTACTTCCTTGAATTTTTTCAACTTATATTTTTTGATGTTTTTATTAAAGAGTGTATCGAGAGTGTACTGTGAATACTGGAATACAAGCAGAACTGTTATGTCTGGGATTACTTGCTGGTTCTTGCTAGTGGCTTGTGCTATTTTTTCTTTATTTAGGAGATTTTGTCTGAAAGAACTCTTAACAGGTTGCTTTCATTTTTGTAACTAGGTGAAAGTGCAAAGCTGAGAGTGATGCAATTGAGTGGATCTTAGCAAATGAACGCTTTAATAGCAAAAGCTTCAATAAGTGTGGAAGTGCATATGTATACATGGACACACAATGATACAAAAAGCCCAAATCTTTTTCAAACTCGGTCTGTTCTGTAGGAAAAAGCCTACCTGTGTGACACTTCAAATAGGATATTTTATAATGTTTTCAATCCATTTTTGGGGTGGTTTTGACATGCAAAGAAAACCTGAAAAGGCTTTTTCTTTTTTTTTTTTTAGTAGTTCTTTATATGCTTTTTTCCTTCCCCTTTTTTCTCTTGGCACTGAAAAAGATAGGGAATGCTTGAGAAGTGTGAAAATGTGCATAACGGTTGTTTTCAATGTAGTGGAAACTTCATATATATGAAATTATTTTTAGTTTTAAATGAAAAAATTCAAAGAGAAAAATGATTGACTTACTAGTATTTTGAGTGGGTATTCTTACTATGAAAACTTTCAACAAAGTAAAAGTAAGCTTGATACTCTAGCCAGGCAAATGAGACTTTGAATATCTTGACTTGTTTTTAAATTTTTTTACCAGTTGATTAAAACCGTGTACTAAACTATACTTCCTTAGGGAATAGATGTTCTCATTAAGAGGTTGATTCAATTTTATGGGACTACTCAAAGTGGATTTTATTTTTGCCTTAGGTCCTTATCTCCGACATTTAGGAGTCCAGAGCACCATAGGCAAAGGCATGCTCATATTAATTATGACTGTGAATATAAAAGCTTTCGTAAGGACCCAAAGAAACCTATGCCTTGGAGAACAGAAGATGAAAAATACGGACAAAGCAATTCCAGGTTTGCACCTCATGGAAATAACCACCAGAGAATATATGAACGTAGATCACCTTCACCAAACCTGAAAAGAATTCCCATGGAAGATACTTACAGTCATAAGCCCTATAGAACACATTCGTCTGAAAGAACTGAAAGCAATAGGAGATGCCAGTTACCACCAAAATACTCGGAAATACCATATAAAGAGCATGATCGTCCGTTTTACCAACACAAAATGGAAGAAAGATACATGTTTGAGCACTACAAAGTCACTGGAAATGAAAAAGGAATGAAACCTTTTCATAGACCGTTAGGGGCTTCATGTAAACTTGAAAGAAAATGGCATGAAGATGACTTGAGGCACCAGAGGTTACATGAAGAGAAGTACGGTCAGTCACCCAGAAGAATTTCTGATGAATTTACGGCAAGGAGCTCTTTACAGAAGAGGTATAGGAATAAAATAATTAAAACCTGGGTATTGTGGTGTAAAGCCTCAAGTGAAAGTCTGTTTTCATTATAGTTGAAGATATCCACCTTGAAACACGTTGGCCACTTTGTAGTTTAATTATGGGCGACTGGTAGTAGTGAAGTATTTGTCTTTTAAGTAAATCGTATTGATGGCTAGAGTATGAAAGGATAATATTTCCCTCTTAAGAGCCCCTGCACATCTGTACCTTGGCGTGAGGGATTGTGGGTTAACTTGCCACGCATTCTCCTGTCCAACATTCTGCACATATAAGTTCTCGCTTTCTTCTCTAGTGCAAGTGTAAATTGCTTTATGTCAACACAGGTATCCTGAAGATCACGATTACAGAGAATATGGGCACACGTCTAAAAGGGCTAAAGAAATGGAGAGGTATGACGGTGGAGAAGTAGCAAGAAATTCCAAGTGGAAGCAAGAACGTTCTTTTCCACCCTACCAAGAAAAGGAGGAGCAAAGAAATCTGGGTGCCCAGTCCCACCGATCGGCTGAAAGGGAGTACTCGGAGGGTTTTGTCACAAAGATAGCCTATGAGTACAGTCACAAACGACGCAGGCATCCAGATGGGGAAAAGGCTTTTTCAGATGATAGAGCTCAGAAGTATGTGAAGCAGGAAGACCAGAAATACGGTTCTTCTAAGGGTGCCCGGAACAGCAAAGAGTTAGATTACTTTAGCGGTGGAAGAGCGAGATGGACTGAAGAAGGGCATGTCGAAGTACCTGTTAAATATAGTTCAAAGAAGGGCTGCGATGCTTGTATTAACTCTTCCAAAATGGATGTTGATCTGAGATCTTTTAAAAACAAACCGAAGGAAAGAGTAAGGAAAGAAGGGGAATTCAGGAAAAAAGTAGATTCCTCCGATAGCCAGCATGATTCAAGTCATACTGTTTCAGATGTGAAAATGTCAGATGTCAACTGTAGGAGGGAACGTCTCACAATCAAAGTGGATATGAAGAAAATGGTGACGAAGTACAGGTACTGGTTTCCCCTCGCCTCTTATTCTTTCTTCCTGTCTCTTTACAGTTTATGAATATTGGAGGAAAGCATGGTTTCTTTAAGTGGTAACCAGGACAAACTAAGGTTGTACCTTTTTAATTTTATTTCATTTAAAATGTCAACTTGCCTGGACTGGAAATTTACAGCCTACTTCTATTAAAAAACAATCAGTCCTCCCCCCGCCCCCCAGTTCATTTCCTGGAGATGTAGTAGGAAGTAGAAAGAGCAGATATGCCTGATACAAACCTGTAGTTAAAAGCTGCTTATCATAAGTAAATGTGTTACTTTTATTTAAAAAAAAAAAATACCAAAAGCAGAAAAGCCTAGTCCTGTGCTTTCTTTTGAAATATGATGGCATTTTTCTGACTATTGAGTCATCCCTCATTTCTTCTGAAAACCAGATAACCTTTAAACTATATAAATCTCAGGCACATGTTCAGATGTTCAATATCTCAAGTTCAATAACGCTGTCGAAAAATTAGAGATCCCTGGATTATGTTATTTATTGTTGTAACAAATGAAGTGGCAATCTGTTGAGGCATCAGAACTGAAAAGCAGTAGAGTCTGCTTCTGTCTATCTTCTGTGTAATGCTTGTGGTTGCCTTTAGCATTCCCAGCGTCTGCTGAATTGGAAAAAAGTGGTAATATTATGAAAACCTAGATGATGGATACATGGTAGAGAGTAAGCAGCTTGGTTTGTGTAGATTTTTGCAGGCTTTCTGGTTTGTTGGCTTGCTGTTGCAGGCAAGAATGTCATATAATGGCAGTAACCCCTTTTGGAAGGGATTACCTTCCCTTCCAAAATGATCAGCCTTCATTTTAAAGGTATTTTGCCTCTTGTCCCAAATAAAACATCTCTATCAATTTTCTTCCCTTTCCAATATTTCAGAAACACGTAATACAATGGAGAGTTACAAAGACAAGTTATTGTCTGCACATAAGGGGCTAACATTAAAGACTGAGGAAAGGGCAGTGGAGTAATCCCCCCCGCCCCAGCTAGGACAAGCACGTAACTTCCTGAACAATACTGTAAGGAAAATAATTATTATTGGGTTTTGTTGCAAGCCCACAGGATGATTCCTGTATCTAGTAGCCTCTTGCTGCTGTTTTTGAAAGTCATGCACAATGGACATGGTAATTATTTGCAGACTGAAGAAACTACTGCATTGATTACAGCTAATTTCATGTGTGGAAGGCTTGCTTCCACAGCCAAAAGTGCTAAATATTTTATTTTTTTAAAGATGAGAACACTAATTTTGCAGAAGCTGATGACTGGGAATATTCATGCTGCCTACTTTAGGCATTTAACAAACACCTGACTTGAAATGACTCTGCTGAGAAGAATACTTTCTTTATAAACCTGGGGAGCAGGTAGATAATTCAAATCATCTACAGTTGAGATTGTTTGGATTCCCTCTTGCATGCATTTATTTCCAGCTTACTGGGGGCAAATAGATGACTTCTGGCACCTGCTAGAGGCTAATTCTGATACAGTTTTTGTATGAAATTATAGTTTTGTATGCTTCAAATACAGGATGGGCAGGCACATAATCACTTTGCAGAATGCACAGTAAACAGAGGCTTTATCCTAAAAGCTTTTACATGGGCTGTTTGAATCCTCTATCTTTCTGAAGAACGAGCATTTTCCTTGCAACAAGGATTTTTGAAGTGTTACCTTCCTTGTCAAAATAAGTCTTAAGCAGCAATGCAGCCATTTGGGGCGTAAACTTACTTAGACTGAACAAAATTTGACAGAAGGATGCTAAACATGTTCTTAAGTTCACACACTGCCACTGGAAAGCTGTTTCACTAGGCTCAAGTGATGATTCAGTTCCCAAAGATGCCATGGAATTTTTTACATCTCTGAACTGTTCTTGAAAATTGTCTGGTTGTTCCTTCTAAACAAAGACACACGCATAATTGCTTTCCAGAATTATACTGAAGTAGTATATCAGGATCTTCATTTGCCTGTTTTATTTGATAATCTAGATGAATTAAGTTTTAAAATTCACAAATTTTGTATTACCTACTTCACTGAAACAAGGATTCCTGAGAATGTAGTCATATCTCTTTGTATTTTATTATAGCTTTTCTTCCTTATGGCCTTAGGAGTTTTTTAATTAAAAGGAACAAAATGAGATTTCTGTTTCATCACATTTATTCCTAAAATGAACTTCTTAATTTACTGTTTTGTTCTGCTCATCTATTTGAAGTTTTCAGATATAGTGAATTCTTTTAAAGTGAATTTCTGCAAATTTTTATTCTAGGACTGCTTCTAGTCATACTACAGAGAGACAGATGTCACATGATCTGGTTGCTGTTGGCAGAAAAAACGAAAATTTTCACCCGGTGTTTGAGCACATGGAATCTGTAACACAAAATGTTGAAAACGACCCATCAAGAGAATTTACTCAGGAAATAATCACAATTATCCATCAAGTTAAAGGTGGCTGTAATATTTGGGGTATATGTATGTGTTTATGTATTTATAATTATTAAAACCAAATCTAATGAATTAGATATGCTGTCCTTGTAAATCTCAGGTGTTTGCCTTTTGACTTCATTCTGTATTGTTTAAGGAAAATGTAGGTTGAGGATTTAAAGTAGTTGGGTGGAGAACGATTGTAAGAAGGTCTCAGTCCATAATAGAGGCATTATTGTGGAGCGTTAAGGTCAAAAGGATTTTACAGTTAAGACTAACCTGCTTGTTTAGGAACAAGAAAAGAGAAAAGGAGCTTTGCTGTAGTTGCAACTTCCTAGTTATATACAGTTCCTTTAACTTTTCAGACTAGTGTTTAGACTGCTGCATCATGTTCGGTGTTGAACTTTATTTATAGATTCTAGTCATTTGAGTACTACCATGATAGAGCTGACAAATAGTTAACTTTCTGTTCAGCTTAATCTTCTTAAATAAGAAGGGTGTCTAAGTTGGGCTGGCCTAATCTGTCATTTGTGAATGTTAGAGTGCAAGTGGAAATAGTCTGAAATTTAATCTCAGAAGTTGTCTTGGTGTCCTTAAGAGTTAATCTTTTAAAAGATACAATTTCCCACTGTGCGTTTCAAATACTACAAATAAACATTCTTGTATTTAATATCTCTTCATAGCAAATTATTTTACATCTTCTGACATAACTCTACATGAACGGTTCTCAAAAATTCAGGATAAACCAGTTGCAAATATGAATGAAGTTAAAATACGTTTGGATCCAGAAATTCACAGGTAATTGATGTGCCTTTTGCCTTAATTTATTTGCATTAAGGTTGTTAATCTTCAGGAGACTTTACACAATGTAAAGTGTTTCTTCACTGACTCTAAACAGTGTTGATCTGCTCGAGGGTAGGAAGGCTCTGCAGAGGGACCTGGACAGGCTGGATCGATGGGCCAAGGCCAACTGTATGAGATTCAACAAGGCCAAGTACCGGGTCCTGCACTTCGGCCACAACAACCCCATGCAGCGCTACAGGCTTGGGGAGGAGTGGCTGGAAAGCTGCCTGTCGGAAAAGGACCTGGGGGTGTTGGTCGACAGCCGGCTGAACGTGAGCCGGCAGTGTGCCCAGGTGGCCAAGAAGGCCAATGGCATCCTGGCCTGTATCAGAAATAGTGTGGCTAGCAGGAGGAGGGAATTGATCGTGCCCCTGTACTCGGCACTGGTGAGGCTGCCCCTCGAATACTGTGTTCAGTTTTGGGCCCCTCACTGCAAGAAGGACGTTGAGATGTTGGAGCGTGTCCAGAGAAGGGCAACGAGGCTGGTGCGGGGTCTGGAGAACAAGTCTTATGAGGAGCGGCTGAGGGAGCTGGGGTTGTTTAGGCTGGAGAAAAGGAGGCTGAGGGGAGACCTCATCGCTCTCTACAACTCCCTGAAAGGAGGCTGTAGCGAGGTGGGTGTCAGTCTCTTCTCCCAGGTAACTAGCAATAGGACGAGAGAAAATGGCCTCAAGTTGTGCCAGGGGAGGTTTAGATTGGACGTGAGGAAAGATTTCTTTACTGAAAGAGTGGTTAAACATTGGAACAGGCTGCCCAGGGAAGTGGTTGAGTCCCCATCCCTGGAGGGATTTAAAAGACGTGTAGATGAGGCGCTTAGGGACATGGTTTAGTGGGCATGGTGGTGTTGGGTTGATGGTTGGACTCGATGATCTTGGAGGTCTCTTCCAACCTTAATGATTCTATGATTCTAAACTACCTGCCCGTGGTCTGTAAAGAATTCTGTAGTTGGTCAATAATGCTTTGCTATTTATACTGATGGCACTTGTTTTTATGTAATATTTTTGTGTTCCAGGAGGATAGACATGTCTCTAGCAGAACTTCAGAACAAACGAACCGTGCCATCTGAATCTCCCCAGGTATCTTGATTACTTAACTTTTTTGGCAAACAGTAAGTTCAAATGATATAGATGTAAACAACATTTTCCCCTTGCTATTGTTAAGTCACTTTTACATGCTTTGAAAGACCATCAGTAGTTCTGAGTATTTTGAAAGAAATGCACACTTGAACATATTTACAGATACCACAATGGTGCAAGTAGGCTGTGTTCACCGATGAGTAAAATGCAGGTGCGTTCTCCAGCGTAGCTGGAGAGTGGGTATTCCTGCTGCTTGAACTCATGTCTGTTTTTAAATAGTGTAAATACTAAGTAGGTGGCTGACATGTGGCTCTTGCTTTCCCCCTGAGATTAGAAAAAGCCTTAATGTTACTTCTACGCTAATGTTAGAATGGCCTGACATCCACATAATTCCTCAGAATGCTATTTTAGCCCATGCTTTCATCCAGGGACATAAGATTTTTCCGTCTTCCCCTTTCAAGCTATGCTTACTATGATTTAGTTACTATTTTTTTTCTATAGTACAGGTATGTGGAGATTCAACTTAATTAAGAATAGTAGAACTTCTTAAGATTTACTGGAATTTATGTGAATGTTTTTGCCTTGGCAACTCCATGCAGAATTCCAGTGCTCTGTTCACTGTTGTTTGGAAACTTGTAAAAAGGCAGATGGTTCAAGAAAGGGTGATTGTTTAGGACGACTACTGTTATTGTTTTGGATTTTGGATCCTTGGGTTGATGTGAATCCATCCTATGTGCAGACAGTTGAACTACATTAACAAGATTATATACAGGATGCCACCCCTGAAGGACAGAATCACATCAGTGTTTAGTTATTAGTAGCTAACTTGACTTTAACCCTTCCTCTTAACTAGAACATTATAAGAGTGTTAGAAGATCCAAATGATCTACGGCATGATATAGAAAGGAGAAGAAAAGAGAGACTGAAGAATGAAGATGAGAGAGTGTTTCATGTAGATGGTGTAACTCCAAGGTAATTAGCAAATAACAATCTTGTTAGCCCAAGCCTGTAGTTCTTACACATTCATTTTTTTGACTCTTCCGCAGTTACGTTCACGCTTGTTGTGATTCTTTTCCATAGTTTGTCCTTGTAAGTTTGACTCGGACTGCAATTCAACTGACATACATTGCAACCTACTCTGTAATGGAGGGTTACCTTGAAAGAGGTTAAGCTGCAGTGGGGAAAAAATGAAAAGCAAGCTCAAGCTGTAGCACTGAGTGGCAAGAGGGGAAGAAATGAGTTTAAAGATGCTTAACTATTTTTAAACTCCTTGATGTGCCACATAACATTCTCTTGGTATTTTGTAGTTTCATAAAATCATTCTAGGATGAATACATTGTTGTGTTGCCCTGGTTGTTTTGTAATATCATGTGGAATATCAACAAAGTACTGGAATTTTTCTGATTCTTGGAGAATTTTATGAAGAAAAGCTAGACTTTTGGAATAGCTTTTTACTGCTATGAATTCCTCCCAACAGGTTTGTTAAAGGTGTTTGCCTCAGAGGTGTTTGCTAACCTCAGGCATCCTGTTTCACTTTTGATGTTGGGAGGTTGGCTGATTAGAGAGATGACTTGACTTATTTGTGTTAGAAGAAAAGTTGGTTAAAGAATTGCCAGAGTCTAATGAAATGTATCTACACTGTAGTCATGACTTGCACATCGCTCTTAATATGCTGCTGTTTGTTCATTTTAAATGCAATCTGTAACGGCAAATGGTGGCAATACGCATATTTGGGAAAACTGACTTGTGAAGCTGCAGAAGAAATATTTCTTGTATTTGAGATTCTTTAAACAACAAAAGTAAAAGTTACCAAGTGGGGGGGGGGGG